CCTTTGTAGACATTTTTTACTTGTCCTTTCCTGTAATACTGATGATGATGTTTTCTCATGCATTTTCTTCTGAATTGGACCATTGCTGCTGTGTCTGTGACATCTGGTGCTGCTCATCCCCATCCACAAACTGGAAAATGATTTCTTATGTAATCATGCATCCAACTGGGCTGTGCTATTTTTAAAATGGTTTGTATTTGAACATGGTGATTTTCCCCTCAATTCACCTCTGTGGAATGTCCTTATTTGAATTTTGTTTGTAAAATTTGTGTCCTGTTTACATTTTTCAATTTTTAAAAATAACTTTTCATCTTTTTATCTTACCTGCATTCTGGGTCATTGGTACTACTGCAATGGCTTCCCTGTTTTTCTTGGGATACCAACTGCAATATGGTCCTCAATACTGTTCTGGCCATTCAAATGATTAATGCCAAACGTGTGTCATTAATTTTTTTATTTGGAAAAAAATAACTTCTTTCATACTGGTTATATGGTAATTTGATTATACTAAATTGGGCTTCTGGTTGGGGGGATGGTCTTTTAAATACTGTTTTTTGCATATTCTGCTATTTTTTATTTTTAACGTATGGTTTTTTCCGATATCTGGGTTCTAAAAGAAATCTTTGGAATTAAGAGAAAAACAAGCTGAAAAGGAAGAAAAGCAGAAAACAAAGAAAATAGAAACAAGTGCAGAAAAGTTGCGTAAGCTCTTAAAAGAGGAGAAAAGGTAAACTATAATATTCGGTATTTTTTAAACTTACAAGCAACCACTGAGTTGAAACCAGAGTGCCATATGGAGGTAAAGTAAGTAAAAAAAAAAAAAAAGTTTCCCAAGTGATAATTCTTAGCAAGCATATGACCCCACATGTTTGTCTGTAAAAAACATTAAGCAGAGTCTAAGCTTAGAATTCTTTTTTAAAACTGGGGTTAAAATATAAAATAACTTATTTAACTGTTTCTGGGAGATAGGCTTTTAGAAGAGGAGCTGTGATTTCCTGGATATTGGTGGTTTGTTTTATAGTCTTTGTAAGTTGTGGAAGAATAGTCACATCTACTGTGTAGAGAACATAGGCATAGTTAAACATCCTACTGTGTACAGGATAGTCCGTTCCTACCTTCAGTAAAGATCCATTTGGCCCTAAAATGTCAATTGTGCTGTGGGGGAACACGAAGAAACTAGAGGTAGCTAGATAGAAAACTCGGGTTGCTTCCTACATGTCCAGGTAGACATAAGCAATCTAGAAAAGTCACTGCATCTTTCAGAAGTAGTGGATTTGCCCATAGCGACGCCTGTCTCCAGAGATGTTCTCAAAAGTCATGCTTCATGGAAAAAGTTAATGCAGTAATTGAGATTCTTATGTCTCAGTGTCAACTTATAGAACATCTTCAAGTGATACAAAATAAGATCAAATCTTGAGGGTTATTTGACTAACATTTTTGTAGTCCCCATGTCTGATGAGCTAACTGCTTTTTTTAAGGCTAAAGAAGAAAAGAAGAAAATCGTCATCTTCCTCTTCAAGTGTTTCTTCTGCTGATGAATCCGTTTCTTCTTCCTCATCCTCTTCCTCTTCTAGTCACAAACGGCATAAGAAAAGTAAGAGGAATCGTTCAGAGTCTTCTCGAAGTTCAAAGAGGCACTGGTCTAAGACATCTTCAAGTCATTTAGATCAGAATAGGAAAGATGATTGCTACCCAGTTCCAACTAATACTTCAGCATCTTTCCTTAATCAGAAACAGGAAGTGGAGAAACTGCTGGAAAAGCAGGATAGGTTACAATGTCCAAGCACACAGGTAAAAGAGAGAGAAAGATGCCTTCTCACCTCTTCAGGTGAAGTGCCAGATGGCTCGGGAGGTAGGTCTGAAGACACAAGAGATTTTTACAATAGCTATAAAACTCAGGCAGGTAGTAGCAAAACCGAAAAGCCATATAAGTCAGAAAGATATTTCTCCAGTAGGAGAAATTCCTCGGATTCCTTCTGTAGAAATTCAGAGGACAAGATGAAAGCATCTAGTTATAGGAGATTTGAAAAGGACACAGAAGGAAGAAAAGATCACACTAGAAGGTGGGAGCCAGGTTCTGTGAAGTACTCTACTTCACCAGCAAGTTCGGACTACTCTTGGAAGTCACTTGAAAAACACAAAAAATACGCTTACTCTGGATCACGTGACAGTAGACATGAGCAAAGATACCAGTTAAATACAAATCAGGGAGAACGTGCATATGAAAAGGAGGACAGCTCTGGGGAGGGTAACAAAACCGAGGCTCCAGAAGAAACACTAAATAGCAAAGAGCAACCAGAAAACAGAGTTAAGAAAAATTTACCTCAAAATTTACTCAATATATTTAATCAGATAGCTGAATTTGAGAAAGAAAAAGGAAATAAGCCAAAAAAATGATCTGCTTAGGAAAGCCTCACTAAATTTTCAGAAGTTTGGGGATGCTTTAGTCTCACCAATCGGCTCTGGGTCTAAAGTGGTTTGTAGCAGATTACAAGACACTTCTCAGTTTTGTTTCAGTTATCAGCCCTTTTATCATAGTCAGTGCTTCGAGTATGTGGTTATGTGCAGCTGTAGCTCTTACTCTGACAATTTCACCTAAAGGTATTTTCAGAGCGCTTTGTTTCTTCATTGTATTGTGGCTTGTGAGAATCCTGGGCCTATCATATTTCACTGTTGGAGAGAAATATGTTTGCGTTGAACAGTTGGATTGTTTTATCAAAATAATACTTTATTCTCTTTTGTTAAAAAGCCCTTAGCTTGGGGGGAGGGGATATTATATAATTGAATGTTTCTTAGGTACTATTTTAAGTCATTTGTTCTAGGCATTAAAATTTTTGCAACATTTTTAAGTGATAAATTATGACTTGATTTACCACTAACGCCTGATGTAAATGGTTTGTGAACATTGATTTCTTCCCAGCTTAACAAAATACCTTAAGAATAAGACCATGAAAATTTGTTAATCAGAAACTATTTTACTTAATGGTTATGGTCATAACAAAATTTTTAACTTTAAATACTGACAAAACCAGTAGGGAATTCTAGACAAGACTATATGAGAATAGAAAATGTTGTAAAAATAGCACCAGAGAGGCACCCTGTAAATCTGATGTTTCTTCTGTCTTAATATTTAATATTGCAAATGCTTGGGAAGTCAGTAGGCATGTTTCTGAATAGTGGAGGGCTGGCGTACAGTTTACTCTTCTGCTCTATTACCTTCTCTTCTTTATTGATGCCTTTCTCTGAATCCAGTGAATGACAGAATCAATTCCCGGCCTCTGAGATGGCTTAATGGGTAAAAGACCATCCAAGCTGATGATGTGAGTGCAATCCCAAAACCCCAAGGCCTACAGAGAGAACTGACTCCAAAGGCTTGTTCTCCGACAGCCACACACAAACAGTAGCTACACACACACAAATAACTAACAAAGGAACCATCTTGGACTTTCAAAAAACCTCTGTGAATTATTAAAAATTAAACAATACACTCTTAGAGATATTAGTAAGTATCATAGTAGTTGCACTTATGATGCTCTTCAGTTAGGATTCTAGAAAGTGCAAATGGCAGTGAGCTTTTTTAATCTCTTATTGGTCATCAGGATCCAATGCAGACATGCATGAGAGAGATGAGGGAGTGGTAGAAAAAGAAGACTCATTGAATGTTTATACAGATAAAATACTAAAACTTTAGTAATGATATGTACTATCTGCACCAAATTACAGTGATGGAAAACTACTGTAAAAACAGTACAATAGGGGCCGGGCGTTGGTGGCACACGCCCTTAATCCCAGCACTCGGGAGGCAGAGGCAGGCGGATCTCTGTGAGTTTGAGGCCAGCCTGGTCTCCAGAGCAAGTGCCAAGATAGGCTCCAAAGCTACACAGAGAAACCCTGTCTCAAAAAACCAAAAAAACAAAAAACCCCTTTCTAAAAAACAAAAAAAAAAAAAAAAAAAAAAAAAAACATAGGAAAAAGAAACCTTGATTAAGAACAACAAATAGCAGAAATTGGATAATTACTTCAATATTATTTTCAGTACCAAGGAACTCATTATTATTACTATTATAATTGGGACTTGGGAAAGAACAGTATGTGTGCCACATATGTGGAGATTGGAGGACAACTTGAGGGAGTCAATTCTCTTCTACTTTATGGGTTCCAGGAGTCAAACTTGGGCTTAACAGCAAGTATCTCTGTCCACTGAGCCATTTTGCCAGCCAGCACCAAGGAACTCTTAAGAGTGCTCTGTGTATTAATAGTTCCAGTCTTAGTCCTACATAACAGGTGATTTGTTGTTATTAAAGAGTGGAAACCACGTCTCTACACACTGCTTGATCTTTGAGAATCCCTAGTACACCTTATAGTCTTAACATACTATCTTACTTCACCCTTAGTAGAGTGCCTTGTGGGGTAGACTACCAGAATTTGGAAATTATGACCTTCCTAAATAGGGTAACATCTTTCCTAATGGGAAAAGACATACTAATTTAAGCAGTCTACACTAATCCAAGCATCCAGTTCCTTGGAGTATTTTAGGAGCTGTCACAAGAAAAAATATTGAGAATTTTAATTGATCCTCGGTGATATCTTCAGTAGTTTCTTCCACATGAATATGTCCATAGTTTATATGTACCTCTGCTAACTTTGTCTTGGTATCCATGAGTAGAACTGTGACTTCTGGATGTTAAGATTACTCCAGATCTACAAAGAGAGGGGTTAATCCTTTGTCTTGTCGTTTAGTATTATTACATGTAGTTAGTATAGTAATTAAATGTAAACTTGGATACTGGGCATTCTAGACTGGGTTCTAATAGTGACTCCATAAATAGAAGTTAACTACTTATAGTACAATTACTATGCTTCAAGGGCATTGTGTTTTGCTTATATGTTACTTCAGTAAGCCTGTGATACAGTTAATCATCCATGTATTACAAGAAGAAAAATCATAGGAAAGCAAGCCTCGTAATAAGAAACAAACCCCTTGCCTTTGTGGAGTACAAAGTTTAATGTTTTAAGTTTTAGGTAACTTACAAACTAATACATGACCAAGAATCATAACATTGCTAAACAAAATGATGATAGGATTAATCAGTTTTAGGTCTTAAACATCATGCATTTTGGCAGCATTTCAACTAAAAGGTGCCCACAATTTTCTTTGCCATTTTAGTTATTAGACTTAACTATGCCTTCCCATTTCCGAATTAAAAATTATCATCAGTAGAAACAGATTTACTACCACTACTGCTATTTCATGAAATAACTAGTAGTTCTAAGACAATCACTGTTGAAATGAATATTTTTCCCAAGGTTTAAAGATGATGCTCCTTTATCTACCTGAATGCTAATGTATTTAAAATCTAGCTTTATAGTAGTATTTCTCACTCTAGTCCAAAGTGCTGGAAATACAGTATTAGCTGAAAAAGCTAATTTTAAATATAGTATTCAATATTGACCTCCATTTTAAATTTAGTAAGTTCAGTTTTTTTCAAGGTCAGAGTAGAGGCATTCTTAGCAATGCAAGTTGTACTTTATGCATATATAGAGATAAATATGGATGTATACAAAGTCCTTTAACAGGTGTGTGTCACCTCCGTGGGGGGGGGGGGTGAAGATGGGAGAATATGGTGGTTGTTTGGTTTTTGTTTTTAATTTTAAAAAGTAATTTTGTGATCTAGAGTAAATGAAAATTTCCTTATTGAGATGTGCAATGCATCTTTAGAAGTATTCCTGAATCTTATTTCATAAGTGTGTTACTTCATTACTTCATAAAGCATCTAACACTACAGACATCAGTGTTCCAGGAAAAAAAAACAAACAAACTGATTTCCCTCTTTTATTACATGTGGTCTGGCTAAGGTTCTGCAGTTTCCTTCTCTATGAATAAAACAATAGGAAAACAAAACAAAAAAATCTTTGTTCTTTTCTCAGTTTTTATAGCCATTGTGCAGAACTTTGGTCTGGTCTGCAGTACTTCCAGTATTTTAGTAGGCCTATATCATTAATAAATGGAACCCCAGAAAAAGGGAGATTTAAGTTAATGAGATTTTCACTTATGTTCAAAATTTGTACAAGAGATTTAAAAAAATGTTTATTTGCTGGGCTTTTTTCCTTTAGGAGTACTCGAATTACTGCCATTACTAGCTGACCTAGAACTATTGCTTCCTGTCGGAGACTCTGGGAGGCTCTGCTGTAACACTTTCACTGAAGTTGGAGAAACAGGAGTAACTGGGACCACAGGAGTAACTGGGACCTCAGGCGACCTAGAACAAGAAAGGATTTACTATAAACTTAATGCAAAATGTACTTAAAATAGACCTTATTGGCAAAAAAAAATCATAATTCCATAAGTAAAGAACAAGAAAAAAAAACACAAGTGTTAGTAAAGTTTAAACATATGACCAATTCTTTCAAAAGAAAAAATGAACACAGTTTAATAGTTCAATAATTATTTCTGTGAGCAAATTATTTTCAACTGTAATGAGTTTGTAAAATGGGAAGAGAGAAGCAGGTGCTTGGAACAGTCATCAAAATGTTAAGTCTTTAGTCATTTAAACTGAAGAGAAAAATGGGGTGTGTTGGCAGGAAAAAAAAATGGTGAGATCATTTAAAAAACAGCCATTCAGTTCTAATTTTATAAAAAGTACAGAAAAATTTAATATGTAATAGTAAATATATTGAGTGGCTTAAAATATTTATGTAGAAGCATAAATATTTTTTTAAACTTAGTGTTTTATTTTTCGTAAAAGTTTACAGACTAATAAAAACTAGAAAATATCAGTCAACAATAGATTAGAAATCGCAAAATCAGCTTCATCATTAATAAACCTGACAAAAAAGACTAAATGCCCATGACTTATCCCTACTGATAGATTTCTGGATTGCATTAAGCTCAGTAAGACACCATAAATAAGAGCTGGTCACACAGAATTTCATAGGAGCAGCTGTAATTGCAAAACTCTGTACCTTTACAGTTTAAAAGGAGTTAAAGTTTACCAGAATTGGAGTTCACCCAAAATGTTAGCTATATCACCTCAATTTTCATCCAACCTTGTTCCCCTAAAATAGCTTGCTGGTTACAAGCAATGTCCCTGCAAAGTTGACAGCTGCAGGAGTCTTGCTATACTGTGTCTATAGAGTGAGATTGCTGAAAGTGAGGAGAGTGAGTAGCATGCTGGCCAGCAACAGCTGTGAGAGTTGAGGCCCCACCTTAATAACCTTGCCCTTACCTGACTGACGACAGTGAAGACTGTGAAGAAGATCTGGAGCTCTGGCCTTTAACTGCAGGTAGTTCTAACCCATTCTGGAAGAATGTTTTAATTATTAGTCCTGCCATATTTTAGAAGAAAACTAATTAGATACACAGACATACTATAGTATACTCTATTACCTGCTCAAAATACGTTTGAAGAATTATGTTGACTTCAGTGTCTTCCATGATAGTAACTAACATTTGGTCAATGTCCCTATGATACTGTTTAATCTCACGGAGTTCAATGTCTTGTTCTTCTAGTGTTTCGTCATTTGTTTCTTTCAAAATGCGGATTTCTCTTTTGAGTCTTCCACACTGTTAATAATAATAACAGTCAACTATTACATATGCCTACTTTCCACCAAGTTCAGGAAAGGCAGGTTGAGTGCATTTGGTACATGAAAGAAGTGAATGCTAGGGCCAGCTCTAAGAAATTGTCAGCACCTGCTTAGTCACGCGCTCTAATTTCGGCAGCTGCTCCTCAGTCTCTTTGCTGAGTTGAAGTGAGTACGATTGTTTCTCTGTTAATTTCTCTTTGACATTATTTGCTAAGTGTTCTAAAACTTCAAAAGTATTTTCCATGCTCTATAGAAAATAAAATATCAACATATTCATGGTCAGAATAAAAACATGACTTATTTGCCAATTGCCAGCTGTTTACTCGATTTTAATTACTTTGTTTATATATGTACTGTCTTTACTGTATTAATAATAAGTATAATGATGCTGTAGTTAGTTTTGAATATAATTCCACTGGGAACTTTATTTGGCATTGGAAAAAACGGTTACTTAAAATTACCCAGTTTTCAAAGATTGACAGCATGTGTCATCACTTAACAAAGCACATTCTTCAGTCTCTCAGGTTTGCTCTAGTACCTTCTTCCACTAGATTTTCTGTTTTAAACTTTGTATTTAAAAATCTTAATGTGCTCTTTAAGTTCAGTGAGGGTCAACTAAGTAATGGTTAGTGTATAAGTCATAATTGTCTAGCTGTGGTTGATTGGCACCCAGAGATAGGATTTTAACTGTTTTACTTAATGTTTCCTTCACTTGTTTTTCTCTAAATGAGGTTTATGTTTCTTGTGGTCTGTTTCCCTAAAGATGCTCTCCATACATTAACTAGTAATAATGGTAGTTAACCTTTATTTAGGGTTAATTAAGAAACCTATAGAATTCACCTGGATGTCTTCTTGAAGTTCTCTGATTTGCCTTTGTCTGCATCTGTATTTCTCATCTGCAGATCTTTTTTGTTCTTCTAGTTGAATTTTCATTCCATACTCATCACCTACAAGAGAATTTTAATTTCCAATATAATATGTAGAAAACCACTTTAAAGTAACAAAATAAACCATTAACGTTTTTGTTATGAAAGGTTAAGTGTCTAGATCCATGTGAAAAACACAATATAGGTATGTAATAGACATTTCTTATTTAGTGGGCATATAGCAGCAATACATATTTTTCAGATTCAAAAGGAATTCCTAAAGAAGAGATACGCCATATACCAATACAACTAATGATGTAAATCACACCTCATACTGATTAAAATGATCAAAGAGGTGCATAATTGATTTTTTTTAGGCTCAATCATGGCACATTTTTATTCTCCATTAATCATAATGTTCCTCCTGTACATTCATTTAACTGTAGTCTTCATCACATTTGTTGTGATGACTGCTACCTACTTGATGGAGTCACTTTTTTGAAAGATTGCTTATAATTATTGTTGCAGCTGTTCAGTACTTGCAAGGTGTTTTGCAGAGCATAGATTTCTTTTTCAGCTTTGTTGATCTTAGCATCCAAGCTGTCACCTTCTCTTTGAAGTTCTTCCTTTTCTTGAGCAGCCTATAAAACACAGAACAGTGCTAAAGTTATTTAGCTTCAGTGTTGCATTGAAGCTGAGAACAGTTAATTCACAGCAATTGCTACTTACCCTAGAGCCTGCACATGCTTACCAGGCATTTACTTCTTGCACACAGTTTCAAATATAACACCAAATCCTTAATCATCAAGATACAGCATATATAGGGGATACAAAACAATGGTGGAAATGTAGCCACTACTTACATAAAACACCAGGAAGAAGGGTGGGGGATGGGGGTAGCTAAGCAGCTACCAGAACTCTAAGAAGATAAATGGGGTGACTCAACAAAGGTTGAAACTACAGTAAACCAGAAGAATATTTTGCTCTGAGAGAGGTGGGGACTATTCTTATTTGATTCAGAACGGTGACCAGAGTATATCCAGGAAAACAATGTGGGTGTATTTTCTGATATAGTTTATTACAATTTAAAAGATAACTTTGGCGCCTGAGAGATGGCTCAGCAGTTAAGAGCACTTGCTGTTGTTCTTCCAGAGGACCCAAGTCTGGTTCCTAATACCCATGTAGGACAGCCCACAACCACCTGTAACTCCAGTTCAAAGTGATCTGACATCTCTGGCCTCCCCGGTACCCACACTCACGTGTGGTCTACACGTAAAGAAAAAGATCATTTTTTGAATTTTGAAGATACCTGCAAATGATGGTAGTACTTAAAATAAATATAGCTAGGAAACATGAAGTTCTGTAAATTGCTTTAAAAATCCAAATTTCCTACACGGTGAACTTTTACAAAGGTAACTCTTCTCTCTGGTGGGCTCCCTTAAAATTCTATACAATTCCAAAGACTCTGAGGTTGACAGAATAGCATCATTATGTATTAAAGGCTGCTTCCTATAAAGCCCCCTTTTTTTTAGTTAAAATTTTATTTGGGGTTAGAAAGTTGGTATTTTGAAACATAACTTCTTAATATCAGTTGTTTGCTTGTTTGTTTTAAATACCTTCATTGAATAGTATCACTCAAATTTGGTCAGAACGAGACTGTTGGCTTATAAATACTGAGTATCTTGGGAATAAAATATGAAGGGTGCTAGCTCTTTGCTTTGTTATCCAGTTTGCTTTTAAGCAGAAATAGACATGAAAGTTGAAAACATGGAAAACAACCTGTTATGCCCCACACATAGGCCAAAGGCTACTGCAGAACCAATACCAGGAGCTACTGTGGCCATGAAAGAGATGTGCTGTCGTCCCAACACCAAGTAACTTAGTGTGACCTCATTGAGAAGTCAGGCATTTCAGATACCAAGATGAGGTCACTATGATGGGCCTCAATCCAACAGAACTGACATCTTGACAAAACAGTACACTACTTCTCTCCACTTCTGGCCATGAATAATTTCTGATAAAATCAAGACTAACTTTAGTTACAGAGAAATACATTGCATATTTGAGATGTGAAGTGTGAGTGTGTGTGTTTCATTCAATCATAAATGCACATCAGGTAAATGTTACCTTTATTACATAATAGGCCTGTGTTTTCTCCTCTTCTCCTTCAGGAGGCAGCATAACAACAGTAAGAATTTCATATCTGTTCTTAAGCTTATCAATTTTACTTAGCCGCTCCTGAAACTCAAAACTAATATGAAAAGAAAGAAATTAAAATTAGTGTTTTTACTGAAAAGCTTTGAACTTGTATTATTACTGAACTGTACTCAAGCAGGTTAAAGTGCTTCCATTTTAATAATTCTGTGTGAAGGTCTCCAAGGTTACTTGTCATAGCTCCCTGGATACTAGCAGAAGACATGAGATTTATAACAAAGATGAAGGGTATTTTCATTCATGACACAGGAGAAGGTCTGAACTTCCACGTCTCAGGAAGGCAAAAGGGGACTCAGGCAGATACTGCACAAACAGGTTTGTGTTACAGTTCAGGAACCCCAGATATTTTCACGTAGGAAATAAGCAAACACCTAATTTTTGCTCTGGAGGGAAACTGACCTCTTAATTTGCTATTCAAACAGACAGGGTTAGTACCTCTCTTTACACGGCGTAAAAGTAAAATAATTCATGGCATCAACATTTGGTGTCAGATTTTTAAATGTTACTTTTTCCTTTTATTTCAGTAACCCTTTATGAGCTATTTTCTGGAGTTATAATAATACTAGTAATGGTAACATCTGCATGGCAGGATGGAGACTGACTCATTTCTTGCTATGACCTAACATATTCATTCTTGTGTGATCAAAACCTACTTATCAGCTAAACTAAGCAGAAGTTCATCTTCAACTTTCTAAAGAAGAAAAAAGTCAGGGTGGTGGTAAACACCTTCAGTCCTAGTTCTTGGGCAGCTGATGCAGTACTGAGGCCAAGGCCAGCCTGACCTATGTATCAATACCCAGTCTCAAATAATAAAATAGAATTTTTTTTTTTTTTTAAGAAAGGGACAAGGCTTTTCTCTTCCGGTCTCTTTGGCCTCGGCGGCAGAAGCAAGATGACGAAAGGAACGTCATCCTTTGGAAAGCCTCACAATAAGATGCACACGTTGTTCCGCCGCTGTGGCTACCCTGCTAAGCACAAGAGAAAGTATAACTGGAGTGCCAAGGCTAAGAGGCGAGGGATTGGGCGGATGAGGCACCTAAAAATTGTCTATCGAAGATTCAGACATGGATTCCGTGAAGGGACAACACCTAACCCCAAGAGGGCAGCGGTTGCAGCATCCAGTTCATCTTGAGGATTTCAGTCAGTCATAAAAATAAAATGTTCTGGTTTCAAAAACGAAAAAAAGAAAAAGAAAGGGACGAAGCATGGAAAACAGGAAACAAATGATTTGGTGGGGGGGGGTCTTCTCATTAGTTAATCAAAGAATGGATGGCAAGATTGAACAAGAAGAATAAACATACTCCTGGAGCATTGCTATAGCAGCAAGAGCTGCTTTCTCCAAAGAAGGAAATATAATTTATAAAAACTGAACCAAATAGAAATTCAAAATACATTTTTCAAATGATAAGTAAATCGATGTTTGAACATTCTCCATTGAAAAATTCAGGCACCCAATGACTTCACCAGTGAGGTCTTGAAAATTTTATAAAGAGAAAAACTCTGCATTTGCATACTTAGAATAGAGAAAGGTAAGGAACACAAAAATCATTTTGTGAAGGCATACACACTGTAAAAACAGGAGCAAAGAACCAAGGATCATTTGCATGCAGATTTAAAATTCATAAAATACTATCAAAATCCAGAATGTACAAAGGACAAGTTGATTTACTCCAGAGTATAAGGTTGGCTTAACTTCGATACTTATTGTTGTAATTATATTAAAGGAAATATGTGATGTCAATAAAGGAAAGTACAAAAAAATTAACATATTTCCAGTTAGATAAAATCAAGGCAAAATTTGGGCAAAAAGTAAAAATAGATTAGCTTTTTGAACATGGTAAAGGATATCTCAAAACAGGACTGAGGCATGTAGGTTAGCTGGTCTAGACACATGAAGCCCCTGTTTCAATTCCCAGCACCACAAAAAAAATTATAGATTTAATTAGACTACAGAAGCCCTTAAATTATAAAATAAGGAAACCCTCCCTTTGAAATCAGGCAAGAGACTAAAGTATCTGTAATTACCATTATTCTGTATTGAACTAGCAAGTACAGTAAAATAAAGCTTCAAGGCTAGAAAGCAAAACTATTACTCAAAAATGATATGAATGGAATGCCCAGAAAGTTAATGTGTACTCTTAAAATTACAACTTTAGTGAGAATATTGAATACTTAGTACATGGAAATTACATAATTGTATATGCCAATAACTGATCAAAATGTCATGCTTTAAAAGGAAGTAACATTAACAAAAAAAATAACACATGTCCAGCAATATCATAAAGGATAGTAAAATGTTCTACATGAAAATTGCTTCAGTAAGCTTAACTGTTAGAGCTAGATAAGGGGAACGTTTTACTGGACCATTTTTCGAAATCAATACAAAACTCAATTCCAAGGGTCAGGATGTTAAATTGGCAAAGTGCGTGTCTTTTGAGCATAAGGATCCAAGCTTGACTCTAAAACCCATGTAAAAGTGTCGAGTACCATAGCAGGAACCAGTGCTCCCAGCACTGAAGATGGTGACAGCTCACTGGCCAATCCAGAGCAGCCTAATTGGTGAGCTCTGGGCCAGTGAAAGACCCTGTCTCATAGGATATCCCCAGAGATGACACCTGAGAATGTCTTCTGGCTTCCACATGCAGGGACAGACTCATGCACTTGCATATACATATACATGAATACACATGTATTTAAAAAAAAAAGTCCAAGTGGATTATTCATCCCTTGAGACAGGGATATGTCTCAAGGGTACAGCATTAGCTTAAGGGAAGCAACCAAGACCTCTGGCTCAGTGTATTCTTGGTCTTATATTAAAGTCAAAAGTCTTTCAGATGAGTTAGAGAAAGATGGACATGAGGGTGGTGTCAGGGAACAGGTGGCTGTCCTGACACCACCCTGACATTGTTTTACAAAGTCATTAGCAGAGGGAAAGATTTGATAAATACCTCACAGTTTGCCGCTGCTGGTCAACATATTTGATCTGGGAGGCAAGCATGGCTTTGTGCACCTTAATTTCTTCAGCTCGTTCTTTCATTGTTGTGTACAGCTGCTGTTTCCTTTTCTCCAGGGAAAGGACTTCCTCTGCTTTGCTGTAAAGTAATTCTCGGGTGCGTTTAACCTCAAGCTTTAAAAGATTGTCGTCGATCATCAAATCCTACCGACATAACAAAATTTTCAATTATTGAAATAATTATCTGTATACCAAAACCAAGGTATGTTTCTTTTTTATTGTAATAAAAGTCAAACTTGAAAACACGTTTCCCAATTAGACTACTGACTAAGACATCAGTGAGGAAAGAGGCAGAATGGAGAGCTATGGCTGCTCCTTAATTCAAATTTAAGTTCAAGCTTTACTAGGATATACAGTTATTTCTATAATTAAAACAATATCCAGGAAGAATAAGTCCTACAAACGAACATTTTCATACTCCAAAATAGCTATCACAAAATAATGCAGAAATACATCTGTAGTTTAAAGTCATTGTCATGTGCATTGTATTACATAAGTCAACAAATTGATCTAACTTCCAATGAAACAATATAGAACAAACAGCCCAGAGTGTAAAGCAGGCTGTTTCTCAAGCACAGCTTTCAGATTGCAAGAGATGAGCTCCTTACATCTCACATGCCCAGAAAGATACTCCTGATGAATGAGAAAAGCCATTCATTGCAAGAGATGAAATCTGTGCAACCCAGTAGAAAGAGCAAACACTTATCTGACTTAGCACAAGCTTCTAAACATAACATTTGAGTAAAAACCCTTGAAACTTAATGTTAAATGATTCATATCAAAAACTCAAAATTTAAAGACAAATGGAGAAAATATTGGCAATACTAAAGAGTTATTTTTACATAACAAAATAATTTATAAAATATAAATCCCTTAATGAAAGAAAATGAACCAAGAATATAACCATTCAAAAAATTATGGAACATGATGTAATGTTTTAGATATGTTTTAAACTTTAAATAAATGTCATTAAAATGTTACCAAGTAAAACATAGAAAACAAAACACTGAGATTCCGTATTTGTCCATCAAGTTGGAAACATGATCCAGCCACAGTGAAATAAATAGAATATTGCACATAGCTGGTGGAAGATTATTAATGGAACCATCTAGAGGACAATTTGGCTTTAAAATAGTTTAAGTCAAGAATATACTGATTTTTAGCTTAATTACACAGCTAGGAATTACTCTAAGCAGCTAACTGATCAGTGACAACACACTAGACCCCAGCACTTATCAGAACATCAGAAACAAACAGCCTCAGATCACAAGATACTTAGACTGTGCTAAGCTCACAAACTATCCCTGTAGGAAGTGCTGGAGAATTACTTCTTAAAGAGTTGATGTAGGAAACGTGTAATATATCAAATACAGTGATTATCATGGCTGATTTTCTCCTTAATTACTTCCTTGTTTTACTGTTCCAGTGGAAGCACGTGACTTATCAACTATGTGGACAGACTCGGCACACCTGTTTTGCCGTTCTAGCTTTGTTCAGTTCTTTTCTTATCAACTATGTGGACAGACTCAGCACACCTGTTTTGCCGTTATAGCTTTGTTCAGTTCTTTTTCCGATCTGTCAACAAAAAGATGCAGTTCATTTATTTTATTCATGACAGACTGTTTCTCATCATTATTTTTGCTGTTTGACTTCTTAAGGAAGTAGAGGTCATTCTGTAAAAAACAAGGGAAGGTATATATGTTTTAAGCAATGGAATAAATTGCAGACAGTAATAGATATCAATGATTTGCACAAAGTCACCTTATCGAAACACAGCAGCTAGGAATTTAAACCTCTCATGTCTTTTGAGATATCTACATGTATTCACAAGAAACATTGTAATTTTTATCATCCCCACGTGGGACTCCAAAGCTACACAGAGAAACCCGGTCTCAAAAAACAAAACAAACAACAAAAAAAAGGAAGTATCATCAAGTGATCATGTGCACATGTGCAGTTCCAGTTCAGCTTAGTTTTTAAGGAGCTCATCACTCAGGAGGGGAAAGAACCCTGCTGTTAGCTCACAACAGAGCACCAAGTGCCAGGTCTGGAGAGCATAGGACCCTTGGTTAACAGTATGACCCTGGGTTCAGGTGACACACACACACACCACACACACCACACACACACACACACACACACACCATCATAAATAAAACAATAAAATAAAATAGACAAAAATGTTAACATTGTTTCAACTTGAGTTTGGTTTCCCCTTTTCCCCTTCTGGAAGGTGAGACTCCAGTAGAGTGGGACTTCACTCACACACAGAGTCGGTCAGCTTGACCACTGCAGAGAAGAGCATAGTGTCTGTGCTTTACCCAGCTTTAACTTGGGGTTTCCTTACATTTCTGGGAGTTTGTGTGTGAAACAGAATGGGCATGTGCACCAGTCAGCTTCCCAGTGGCAAGAGAAACTGGGATGATTAGGAACATGAAGACCACTGGCGCTCCCCACACAGTGCAGCTAAAAAAGCCCTCTCCTCTTATCTTCACACTCCTGTCCTCCCTCATGTTCTACTGTAAATGGTCAAAACAGCAACGTGTGTGGAGAGTACTCGGCACAAATTGTTTCTGTTTTTCCCCTGTTAGCTAGTGAGAAAACTATGCTCAAGAAGGTTAAAATAGCAGCAGCCATGTAACCTTGACATTCAAACGTGTGCCAAACGTTCCCCAAACGATTCCCAAAGCCGATGCTATTTTCCAGCAAGCCAAGGTACCACTTGAAAACATGAACTCCAATCAAAACCTGCTTATTTCATTCAAGGAACTCGAGGCACTTCTACTTGTGACCACTAGGGGCCACTCATCACCAGCATTTCCGACTTTCCCAGCTGAGGTTCCATCCCCCTTCCCCACCATTTAAACTTGAACAGAAACTTAAAACAGACATAACCAAATCGCTAAAGATGAAATGTTCTTCCTTCTAACTAGTTTTTTCAAACATTATAACTGTGTAAGGTTGCATGAGAATGAATTACGGAGAAAAGAAAAAAAGCTTCCTGGTTTCTTGGTAGTAGTTTCACTGTGGCAAAAAGTGGAGTTTCTCAATATCCTAAAGTGTACTCTGAGAATGCTTTGAAGTCCATTGGATCCGAGTTCAAATCCTTCCTCTCCAGGCACTCACTGTGTAACCCTAAGCAAGTGTCTTTGCCTATAATAAGGGTAAACATCTTCTTTACAGGCATTTCTGAGAGTTAAGTGAAATGATGCGGTAGAGACATGCCACAACAGCTCTACCGAGTAAAAGCTCAAGTGAGGGACATGACATTGAAAGCTTAGAAATATGAGCATTTGTTACGTGTGTGGGCAGCTAGGAAGTCACTCTGACCACAAGGGGAATGTGCTCAACACCCAGCAGGACATGGAAATCACGTAAAAAAGATGAGTTACATGAAGCTTCTTTATCTGTGCCTCCAAAAGGGAAAGTGTGGATTTTTTCTCATCCAGTGTCTTCTTAAGTTCAACGATTTTTGTTTCAAGGGATTGCTTCTCCTCTGAATTAATTTCTCCCTTTAATCGTGACATTCTGCGTTCCACTTGCTGAATGTAAAAATCCTGTTAATGGTTTTTACAAAAGAGGTTAGTGAGTGTATACAGACAAGAGCCTCTCTGTAAATATAGATGCAGCTCATGTGCTCTTAACTTAGGTCTGGGCACCATTAGTTATTAAAGTCAACTTGGTCCTTCAGAAAATTGGAATAAAATCCTTTCTCGGCTAAGGGAAGCAACAACACTGCTCAACAGTCAGGATGCAGGACAGCAATGCAAACATCATCAGGAAAAAAACCACAGTGGTCTGGAAGCTTAGGAAATCCCAGGATCTGTTTGCATGAGGATCCCGAGGGACAGTTTTCAAAGGATACCAAAAAAAAAAAAAAAAAAAAAAAACTGTCACAATAACCACAGAAAGCTCAATGTATAATGAATTATTTTTAATTTTATTTTAGCTTCTATGATATTGTGAAATTGCAAAACTAATGATTTTTTTGAGATTAAGAAATAAAGATGTATGTGGGAGGTGTTAAGAAATAAACACAAACATGAAGGTGTGTGTAGGCAAAACTGAGGGGAAATAAGGTGGGTGGGAGCCGATCATGCCTAAGGGTTTCTTTTGTTTTAATTTGGCTCCCACTACTCCGGGTTCCTTTAAAGCACTGTCCTTCCCCCTCACTAGAGTGTCTGTGCCCTTGCCTGTTCCTTTAGATTGAAGGGAAAAAAAAAAAAACAACCAGCTTTTAAGGCTCTCTTGAGGCTCTGCTGTCCTAGTATGGGAAACAGCTGTCATCATTTGCTATCCATCTAGGACACTTCATTTTCTTGGGGCACTGGAATAACTCAACCACCACAGGCATTACAAGTCTTCACAGAAGATACTCATAGAGAAGAGCACCTACCTGACTGTACATTATTTCCTGCTGCTTCAAGGTTTCAAAATCCAGTTTGTGTAGCCGGTGGTTAAGATGTTTCAGGGCACACCGGGTTCCTTCAATCTCTGATACCAAGGCTTTCTCTTTCATTGTCTCGTTCTGTAACTCCTGAACTTTCTTAAATAGCACGTCCTTCACTATGTTCAGTTGAACCTCCACTTCCTGATAAGAAATTGTAAGAATTATAGCAGTTAGTTCAATTATAATAGCTTAAACTTTGTATCTACATGAACATTAAAATTTAGGAGCTCAAAACCAGACTTGAGACCCTCCAGCCAATATTTAGCCCTTGAAAGCATAAAGTCTTCCCAAACTTCCATCATTCCCCCCAAAATTTCTTCTCCAGTGCCAGTAGGTGAAGTTGTAATTTTCCATTCCTGACTTCAGAACTACATACCCGGTGAGATCGGAGTTCACTGAATAGTCTTGAGTATATAAAGGAAGAAATCATATTGTCCAATTGGGAACTTCTTAGGGCCAATGTCAGGGTGAAAACTTACCTATCTGCTCTCCAATGGGTGAGGACTAATGGTAAATACTCCTTCTATGGTGTAAGCACACCCAAAGTGGGCAGTTTCGAGCTATTTGTATAGTTACACTACTGTTGGGGTCCATAGAGGGCTCAGTTTCATCTTGACTTAAGGTCACAGAGTTCAAACTCTTTCAAGGTTAAAGGTCTAAGGTGTGGCTACTGAAGGATGTTTGGCCTACAGTATGGATGTCTTAACTAGATAACATAAAATTTGATCTAAGGTTACTAGATGTCTTAATCCTCAAGGCCAGGTAACAAGAGGTTTGATCTAAGGTGTGGTTAATAAATGTTTTGAGAATTAAGGAAGTATTACATCTGTTTGTTCCTTGTATCATGGTAAGAAAGTCTTTTGCCTCAACCCTTTTTGGTTGGGAAATATAAGAACTTTGAGCAATAAACTTAGGGCAGATCCCAGTATTCACTAGATGCCCTCCAGATTCTCTCTTCTGTCTCTAGTCTGTTTCTTTCCTCAATCCACACTCCCCCTTTCAGGTACAGACCAGACAAGTTGGCCAGACTCCACACACTACCATGGAGATGGCATACAGAAGCAAACCAACATACAGATGACATATGTAAGAGATGTCATCTTAACCTTGACTACACAGCTAATCATAGAGTATAATTCACAAATGATGGATTTGAATTTAATGTGTTTAGTCATAAGTCTATATACAATTTGGGTTTTGATAGTTGCTGTATTTAGCAATGAACTTAATATTCCTAAAAATGTAACTGCTGGGTCTTGAGAACTTGTAGGAACCAGCCCCCCACCAAACCTCTGGCTCAGCCCTTCACGTAGGCTGTACATTCTTTGGTCTCCCTTCGTGCTGACCTCTAGGAAAGAGAAGCAAGTCTCAGGTCCTGTTGATCCTCTAAGAGGACCTACCTTAACCTCAAGGCTTCATGACAAAATCTGTTTACCTTTGACCTACCAACCCAGACCAACTATAAGTTACCACTTTTGAATATTGAAATAACTTGCACTCATAACCACATTCCCCCTCTGTAGCTAATGAACCTCAATGTGAAACAAAACCAGCACATGACCAATGTGAACCAATCTTCACAAATCAAGAAATAGCCAATAACCAATGTTGTATTTCTCCTGCAATTGTCACTTCCCACTGAACTCAGGACTTTCTCAAGGCTTGTTTGGGAGAATTTGAAAATCTGGACTAAGTGGTGGCAAAGTCTATTAAGCTTTTCCAAAATAAACAAAAATGGAGATGAGAACAGCCCTCTAACATATCAGGGCCACATCTGCAACAATAACCTTATTTTCAAGTTCATCTAGTTTTCTTTGTTAAATATGAGTTTAAAATTTTCTTTTGTAGCTGTTCTACATGTGTGTCATGTCCAATCCTCTTTATAATACTTCTAAGAAAGCCTGGGTATCTCCCTAATATCATTTTCCTTCAACTTAAAAGCATTTAGCATTGCTCAGCTAGCAATATCTTCAGATGCCTACCATGTGTCTTCAAATATTATTTATTTATTTATTCAATTTCATACATGTATATAATGAATTGTAGTCATTTCGCCCAGATTTCCCCTGCCTCATCCCTCTCCTCTTACCACCAACACCTTTCTTCTCAATAAGTGACTTCTTATTTGTTTGTTTTGAGACAGGGACTCACTATGAAGTTGTGGCAGTCCTGGAATGTTGGGAGCCAAATCTCGGAGCTTGGCATGAGATCCTAGGCCATGCTTGGCAGGCCACATAGTTAACCTTTACATAGCAGCTCCTTAGAACCTCAGCTCAAGAAAAGAAACAACCTGACCCAGTCCTCCACCCACAGGCTCAGTCACTTAGGCAACCCCTTCCTGGACCTCTTACTCATCAACTCTTTACCCTGCCAATCATCCTCTTTGCTGCTTCCTAATATCCTGCCTGTACTAACACCTGCTGCCCAAACAACCCATTCTGCCCCTCCCCATATCCTGACTATATAAGCTAGCCTGAGAAAAGTAAAGTTTGCCACTTTATCAGAATCCTGTTTTGTGGTTGTTCTTTCTGAGTCTCTTGTCCCCATTCCCTATCCCTGACTCTCTTGCCCCAGGTTGATGTCCTGCAGGTCGGGACAATTGGCACCCAATGTGGGGCTGGATAGAGTTGGGGATCTAGGAGCTTCAGTGCTCATTAGAGGGGCGGGCCCGTCCATGCAGTGAGGCATCCATGACAAGGTCAATTGTGAGCCTCGGTAGGAGAAAGACCCAGCAGCCTGCCTAGCACTTGTGACTTTTGGTTCATGAGCACCACCTACCTGGAAAAGGTGAGTAATGGGACAAGCATTTAGCAAGAAAGATTTATTTCTTTCTGGGATCACAGAATCCCTCAAGATTCGGGAATGTGGGTTAAGAAAAAACAATTGAGAAAATTAGCAAGGAAGATTTATATTCTGGGAACAAAGAATCCCTCAAGGCACAAGGAACTCGGGTTAAAAAGAAAGAAAGAAACAAACAAACAAAAAAGTTCTTCCTCTTTGTCGGGGATCTTTGTCCATGGTTCCCCCCAGGAAGGAACCATTAATGAAAAGAAATGGGCTAGAGTTGGCAACTGCCTCCAAGAGTTGATCATCTGACAACATGGCAGACCAGATGGATTGATAAGACATGAAGTGCAACAGTACAGTGTGGAATGGGGCCAGGTTAGGGAAGGGTCACTAGTGAGAAGCCCATGATAGGTTGGTTTGGAAAGTAAAAGAAAGAAAGCTTCACACGATCTTCTTAATGCTATTACATTTGAAACTGCCAGTGCTTCTTTGTTTCTGCACCTGGCTTGTGGATCCATGGTGAGTCTGTCCACTATTACAGTGGCCAATGGTGGGGGAGAGTTCAATGTTCTCCTGGGGAATACTGGGAAGTTGCAAGTGAGGTCATGGAGTTAGAGAGGTTAAGGTTGACAATGATACTAAGCTGGCTCTGCATTGCAGGACGGTAAGGAGATGTGGATCTCAGGAGAGATTCCTATTATGAGACTTTGGGTCCTGAAAAAAAATCTCTGTCCAAATCACCACTCTTGGGGTTTCCACTTTCGCTTTTTGCATGAGCCAGAAATGTTTTCAGTAGTTTCTTTTCTTCTTTTTTTCCTAAAGGAATGGTGATGTAAATCTAATGCTTAGGAATAATGTATACATCGGGGCTGTAAGACCTGGCAAAGAATTGAGCTGTGTAACTAACACCTCTGGACCTGTAGTTATGCACAGAGGCCTTTCTGAAAGCTGTCTGAAGGTTTTCCTGTCTTCTCATTCTTCTCACTTAACCATTCATTGACCAAGTGCTTCTTTGTTTTGGGGCACTTTGTGGGACATTTATTAAGTTCTGGAATTTCCACTTCAGTAATTACTTCTGCTGCTGCAGTTTCGGTTTCTGGCTCTACAGCAAGTACAGTGTTTTCAATATTGTTTTGTTGTGACGTAACTTAAATGTCAGGAAAAGATGGCTGTATGTCTGAACACATGCTGATGGTCCTGTGTCTCCGACACTGCTGTCCAATGTCCCAATCAACCCATACAACACGTCCCCTGAAAATTACGTCGATGACACCAACTCGATTGGCTTGGCTGGCTTCCCTTATATGGGAAAATAGCCTCCTGTTACTCCTTTTTGCTTCCTTCTGCCCATTCCTACTACTTCCCCATGGTTAACCACCCTCCTCTCTTCCCTCCTTGGACCTTTGATAGGACTCCTCTTGCTAATCTTTGGCCCTTGGGCCTTTAATGGACTTGTGGCCTTTGTCAAGCAACAAGTGGACTCTGGCACTAAGCCTGTCCTGGTCTAATACTAATCCAATTCCCCACGGCCAGCTTCAGAGGTGTAGACCTGGATGGTACTGAAAGGAGACCTCATCTTCTGAGGAATATACCTTCTCAAAATGGGTCAATGTCCTAAAGCTTCCCCACCCCCACAAAAAGCATGGGGACGGTCCTGCCTTTCAGATGGCTCTGAGAAGCCGTCCCCGAGGTCAGAGAAAATTATCCTTTATAAAATCCACATAGATTCTCCAACTGGGGGCCAGGCCTCTATCCCCCTCTGCTGAAAAATTTGGCCACTTCTTTTTATACAAGGAAGGGGGAATATGTTGGGAGCCAAATCTCAGGGCTGGGCATGAGATCCTAGGCCATGCTTGGCAGGCCACATAGTTAACCTTTACATAGCAGCTCCTTAGAACCTCAGCTCAAGAAAAGAAACAACCTGACCCAGTCCTCCACCCACAGGCTCAGTCACCTAGGCAACCCTTCCTGGACCTCTTACTCATGAACTCTTTACCCTGCCAATCATCCTCTTTGCTGCTTCCTAATATCCTGCCTATACTAACACCTGGTGCACAAACAACCCATTCTGCCCCTCCCCATATCCTGACTATATAAGCTAGCCTGAGAAAAGTAAAGTTTGCCACTTGATCAGAATCCTGTCTTGTGGTTGTTCTTTCTGAGTCTCTTGTCCCCATTCCCTATCCCTGACTCTCTTGTCCCAGGTTGATGTCCTGCAGGTTGGGACACTGGAACTCACTTTGTAGACCAGGCTGGCCTTGAACTCACTGAGATCCACCTGCTTCTGACTCCCAAGTGCTGGGATTAAAGGCATGTGCCACTACACCCGGCCTACTGTGATTTCTTCCCATGGTGATCCACTGAGTTTAATTAGAGTCACTTGGCTGAGTATGAGTGGAAAGATATTCAGTGGAGCTCCTGGGATGAGCATTAATTACCAATAGTTGTCATGGGGGGGAGGGCCTCATGGGTCCTCCCTTCATCCATGACGAAATGATGATGGGCCCATTCTTGTGCAAGTCTTGTTCAGATAGCTGCAGCTACAGTGAGCTCAATTCACCTGATTTGTTTTTAAATGTCACAACTTTTAGTATGCTCTGTGATCAAAAGATCTATTTCATATACTTTCAGTTTTTTAAGGATTTGTTCCAAAGTTCTAATAGTGGTCCATTTATACTCAAATACCACTCAGGCCAAATGGCTTTGCTACTTAGGAATTCAGGACACATTGGCAAACCAGGTGTCATCAAATATAAACAAAGTTGTATTTTATATGAGCCTCATCAAGTACTCAGAAATTGCCTGTCTTCATTATCCTTCCTCCTCTATCTGAAAATACAGAAAAATCAGGAAGCAGAGCTGCCATGTCAGAAATTATGGTGCCATTTTCAAGATTCCAGAGAGAAAATGGCAAGGCAACCTGCTCCAGTTTCTTAAAAGTTGGCTTTACTCTCACTAGCACACCAGAGACTGGTAGAGGAAGAGGCCAATATTAATTGATGAAATGGTACATTTCACAGGCCACTTGGTAAAGATGCTGCCAGACTGTAAGAAGTTAAAACAATGATGAAATAACTGGCAATGGGTCAAAGCATGGGGAGGGAAGAATTTGATCACAAATACACACCACAAGATGACAATGTGGCAGGATAAGCTGTCAAACAAGGACACTTGATAAGATTTGTACTGCAACACACTCACAGACATAGGTGGGGAACATGGGCACAATAGGCACTGGAAAGGAATGGGCAAGAGCATAGTGTGGGGTCACCCTTAGAAACGGAGCCCTATGCGAGGCAGTGGTGGCACACACCTTTAATCCCAGCACTCAGGAGGCAGAGGCAGGTGGATCTCTGTGAGTTCGAGACCAGCCTGGTCTACAAGAGTTAGTTCCAGGACAGCCTCCAAAGCTACACAAAGAAATCCTGTCTCGAACCCCCCCCCAAAAAAAAAGAAACAGAGCCCTTTGGGACTTCACAGTCCTCTGATCCCAAGAGTCTAATTACTTCACTCTTTTCAAAACTGCTGTGGCTCTGGGAATATTCAAAGCAACACTTACCCTCACACTTTTCTCCTCCTCCTTCAGCATGTCTTCCATGTTGGTTGCTTTCTCTTCAACAGACATGGTCTTTTCAGTTATCATATTTAATTTATGTTTTACAACCTCATTGTGACGTTTCAGTTTTTGTAATCTAAACAGGGTTTAATAAGGAAATATAGAAAACATGTTTAAAAGGGTATTTCACACACACACACACACACACACACACACACACACACACACAAGTTGTTTCTTTCATTTAAGACATTTTCATTACCATCATGAATCTAATAGACTACAAAAGTATTGCTCAGAGTCCCCCTGGTAGAAAAAGAAAAAGAAAAAAGAAAGAAAATCTGGAGCCTAATAATGGAGCAACTATACTAGGGTAGAGCTCAGTAGTCTGGGGTGGAACTCAGTGGGCTGGGGTGGAGCTCAGTGAGAAGGGAAGGAGCTCAGTGAGAAGGGGAGGAGCTCAGTGAGATGGGGAGGAGCTCAGTGGGCTTGGGAGGAGCTCAGTGGGCTCGGGAGGATCTCAGTGGGCTGGAATGGATCTCAGTAAGATGGGGTGGAGTTCAGTGGGCTGGGGAGGAGCTCAGTGGGCTGGGTGGAGCTCAGTAGGCTGGGGAGGAGCTCAGTGGGCTGGGTGGATCTCAGTAGGCTTGGGTGCACTGAGTAGTAAAGTGTTTACCAACCACAATCAAGGCCCTAGGTTTCATCCCTAGCACCAGAAAAAAAAAAAAAATGTAGCAGTTACAATCTTGCATGTATTTACAAAAATAATTATAACCATTAATAATTTTCTAAATATAGACCATAAACATATTTACTATTTACATATATTTATATGGGTTTTTCTTACTTTGATGTTTCATCATGAATGTCCTTCTTCACTTTGGATATGTTTTTCCTCAGAGCTTCTAAATCACTGGAAGTTCTATTGAGAGTAGCTTTTAAAGTATCCAGCTATTTATCAGTAGACAGAAAAATTACATATTCATATTTGATAAATTAATTTCATTCCTGAGAAACTCTATTCTCCCTGCTTCTAATTATAAGCTAATAGCACCCATTAAAATAGCAACTTTTTATAATTAACACATATCTGTGAATCTTCTTGATTCCCACATCAAATTTTAAATTACTTTTTGTTTCATAGCATGAAAAAATGGTAAATATCTCCACATATAAGTTGAAAGTACATGTAGAAGCATCTAACCACTAACTTGCTCAGGGGAAACATGTCACATGACTCTGGATGAACTGATATGAATAGATAACTTTGTCAGAACATCCAGACAAGTAAGTGCAGCTGGATATAGAGGAACTTCAAGATTAGACCTGTACTCCTCCTCATTGTAACCATCCCCCATGACACATACCATATACCCATCCCCCATGACACACAGCTCACACCATCCCCCATGACACACAGCTCACACCATCTTCCATGACACACACCTCACACCATCCCCCATGACACACACCTCACACCATCCCCCATGACACTCAGCTCTCACCATCCCCCATGACACACAGCTCTCACCATCCCCCAGGACACTCAGCTCTCCCCATCCCCCATGACACTCAGCTCTCACCATCCCCCATGACACACAGCTCTCACCATCCCCCAGGACACTCAGCTCTCCCCATCCCCCATGACACTCAGCTCTCACCATCCCCCATGACACACAGCTCTCACCATCCCCCAGGACACTCAGCTCTCCCCATCCCCCATGACACTCAGCTCTCACCATCCCCCATGACACACAGCTCTCACCATCCCCCAGGACACTCAGCTCTCCCCATCCCCCATGACACTCAGCTCTCACCATCCCCCATGACACACAGCTCTCACCATCCCCCAGGACACTCAGCTCTCCCCATCCCCCATGACACTCAGCTCTCACCATCCCCCATGACACACAGCTCTCACCATCCCCCAGGACACTCAGCTCTCCCCATCCCCCATGACACTCAGCTCTCACCATCCCCCATGACACACACCTCACACCATCCCCCATGACACACAGCTCTCACCATCCCCCATGACACACAGCTCTCACCATCCCCTATGACACAAACCTCACACCATCCTCCATGACACACAGCTCACACCAACCTCCAGTGACACACATTTGAATGTTAATCTAAATTGCTTCAAACAGAAAATCTAAGATGTACTCAGGAGAGGGATCACTTCAATATATACAACAGTAGTTCAATAACTAGTTTTCTGGGGAACGCCATGCTGAAACCCATAGTGGTGATGTAAGTTCCCCTTCTCACCAGCAGTGAATAAATTCTTCCATCACATAGAAAGATAAAGCCATCCTAAAACTCATAAGAGACCACAAAATAAGTAAATAAACAACCTAGATCAATCTTGAGCAAGAAAAATAAAAAGTAGTTACACTTTCTACCTTCCAGCTACAGCAAGCAGGACAATATGATACCAGCCCACAGACAGACACATAAACCAACAGAACAGAGCAGAGGCCAGAATCAAAGCCATCCACTTGAATACATCAGGTGACTTCCTACAAGTCCCCAACAGTGAAAGGTAGCCCTGTCCAGGAACATGCAAGATAATAACATCTATTATTTAATATAAATAATAATTAACACATATAAAGAATAACACATTGTTTCTCTTATTGTATACAGAATCAATTTAGTATGGAGTAAAGCCTCAGGGTGAGATCTGCTACCTTAGAACTACTAGAGAAAAAGACAGAGAATCTCTGTGCCAAAAGCATGGGCCACACAAGCAAAATCACCATCTCACACTCTTCTGCCAGCTCAGAATACCAACACAATACACAGGCAACCTGCAGAACACTTCCAAACCACATAGCTGATAAAGGGCTCATCACCAAAATACACATGCAACCCATGCCACCCAATGGCAGTGAAAGCATAACAATTTTAAGTGGCCAAGTATCTGGAATAGGTATTTTTCTGAAGAAAGCATCAACAGGCAACAGGTATATAAAGATGGTGAACACCACTGAGCCTCAGGGGGCACAGGTGAACATTGATTGGCATATCAAGTCAGAGCTGAGGCTAGGAGTTGCATTTGCCACACAAAGGCAGTGTTACTACCAGTAAACCCACTCCTAAGTACATATATAAACTATGTTAAAGAAATGTCTACTCCACATTCTTTGCAAAATTATTCATAGTAGCCAGGACAGGCAAACAACCTATCTGTTCCTAAACAGATGAATGGATAAAGAAAATGTAATGATAGCGTGTGAGGGTGAGTGGGGGGAGAATAGAATATTATTCAAACTTTAAAAAGAAAGAAATCCTGCCATTTGCAACAACAGCAACAAACCCTGAATGTATGCTAAATAAAATCAGACACAAAAAGACAAATATCATGCTAAAAATGGAAATCAATGCAGTAAACAACAACTGGTGGGTGAACTATGATGTATAACCAAACGATGGAATAATATTCTTCAGAGAAAGAATAAGGTTTTGAAAATATTGCTAAAGGAGACAGACATGAACAATATACTGCATAATTCTATTCTATGAGAGACACAGATTAGGCCAATCTAGAGTGACAGGAAGTAGATCAGCAATATCAGTGTCGGACTGAGAGAAGGGAGAATGAAGAGTGACCACTGACCTAGAGCTTTAGAGGGTAACAAAAACACTCTACAATTAGCTAGCAAGGACTATTCCCACAATCACACAAATGTCCTGAAAGCCACTCATTTGTAATATGTGAAGAATGGGTGCATCTTTGGGAAATGAAACCCCAGTGAATTAGGAAGAGAGGATGATTGAGTCTGTCCACTTGCTTGCAATGGTTAAAGCTCTTAGCAGTGACATCTAATATAGCAGAAATAACTTTCTTTACAAACTTAGGTGATTATCTCTTTGGCAGGGGAAAAAAAAACTATCAAAGAGGAAAGTGAACCATACTGTATAATAAAATGGTTTATAGCAGTCTGCTTTTGGTCTAAGTAAAGGTAGCTTTAGATCGCAAGGACTCAAAAGAGAAACGTTCTGAGGATCCTTTTATTGCTGAGGACGGAATCATTCACTTGCACTATGTGATAGTCTAGCTGTTATGGAACCTGCAAAAGAAGTCTGAGACAGGAGTCTTGCTCTCTGTATCAAGACCACTCATCACCTACTCCTATGGCTAGACTGAAATGTTGTCCCTTAACAAAGTGGGAAACAACTTCAGCAGATCACTGGCAGAAGCTGACAGTCAATGGCATGCATGCCCAACACTGGAAAGACATCCCCAGCTATCTCCTGGCACACTACAGCAGCACTCTTCATATGTGCCCAGTCATGGTGATCCTGGTGTGGATCATTAGGAGTATCTGGCCTCACACCCTTACATGCTAGATCTGGAAGGAGTACTGACAGTGCCCAGTATGGATCCCAGCACTGGGCCTGGTGTTTAAGGCACTCCCTGTGGACTTCTCATCCATGGGCTCAAACAAAGTACCCTAAAGTCCCATTATAGGGATGAGTGCACTGTGGTGGTGCATGCCTTTACTTTCATTACATGGGAGGCAGAGGCAGGCAGGTAGACCTCTGATTTCCTGGCCAGCTTGGTCTATATAGCAAATTTCAGGCCAGCCAGGCCATAGTGAAATCTTGTCAAAATAGAAAGAAAAGGAAAACAAAAGGAAAGGAAAAATACAGAAGCACATGAACTCTCTCTCTCTCTCTCTCTCTCTCTCTCTCTCTCTCTCTCTCTCTCTCTCTCTCTCTCTCTCTCTCTCTCTCTCTCTCTCTCTCTCTCTCTCTCTCTCTCTCTCTCTTACACACACACACACACACACACACACACACACACACACACTCTTAAGGAAAAGAGCCAGCAGGCTACTCTCTAATCAAACAGGCTTTGCCATTGGCTGAGCAATCTGCTATGAACAGTGTTTGTGTGTTTGGTGTTTGGGTAACATACCTCGTCCTTCAGCTGAGTTCTACTAGTTTCATGTCTCTGGTATTCCATCCTGAACTTTAAAACTTTACGCTCGGCAGCAGAAATTCTTCTCTCATATTCTACATTGTTCCCAACCTCGTTTTCCAGAAACTTGATCTTTTCTTTCACCAAGCCTTCTTTTTCTCTTGTTTCCTGCTTGATCCTTGATAATGTCTAGGATTGAAACAAATACGTGCATTTAAATATTTAATACATACCAACTAAAATACAAAGGAATTTAGTTTTATTTTTTATATTCAGTACTTATTGTTTTACAAAAAAAAAAGTCTTTAAAAATACTTTTTGCTGTTGTGAGGAGTGTTTTGTTGTTTGGAGACAGGGTCTCGCTGTGACCCTGGGTGGCTGAGAACTCTCTATAAAGAGCAGGCTCACATTAACTTCACAAAGATTTGTTTACCTCTGCCTCTCAGAGAGCTCAGGTTAAAGATGTGTGCCACCACACCAGGCTAAAAATAAGGTGGATTATCAATGTTAGACATGAATATCTATAATTCACATCATTGAATGCCATTGTATTTTCTTTTATCTCTCTGCAACCTTACTGAAGGGCAAGGAAATGGTTAGGCCTTTATACAGAAAAGGAATACCCCCCAAAAAAATAAACAAAAAAGAAATAGTACTGAATATTTTTCACATAGAATCTTAGGCCTCAGGGAAATTTTCTAAATACTGTATAGACCCATTTTTCATCTTTTAAAAATAACATTTAGCCGGATATGGTAGCACTTGCTTATAGTCTGAGCACTTAGGAGGTTGAGTGAGAAGCTGCCCAAGTTTGAGGCAGCCCTGAGCTCATGGTTCAAGGCCAGCCTGGGCTACACAAAGATCCTATATCAACAAAACAACATGAAACAGAAATACATATTTGCTATTGGTTTTGTCTATTTAAGGCTTCTATGTCTATGAAGAGACACCATGGCCATGGCAACTCTAATAAAGGAAAACATTTAACTGAAGTGGTAGCTTATAGTTTCAGAGGTTTAGTCCATTGTCGTCATGGAGGGGAACATGGCAGCATGCAGGCAGGCATGGTGCTGGCTACATCTTGAATTGAGGCATTGGGTGGTATCTTGAGCAATATATGAGACTACAAAGCCCACCTCCACAGTAACACACTTCCTTCATTGAGACCATACCTACTTCAACTAGGCCACACCTCCTAATCATTCCACTCCCCATGAGATTATGGGGGCCAATTACATTCTAATTACTACATGTTTCAGTGAGAATATCCTCACAGGCTTTTGGACAATCCTAAAGTTATAATAATAAAAATAATCCTTGGAATTCTGTATCTTATGTACAGACAAAGTGCTCCAAGAAAAAGGAGCTCAAAACTCCTGCCCAACAGAAGCTGCTGGTTATATTAGCCACAGGTAGCATGGCCTCCACCATGAGAAATAGTTTTCATGGTACCAAATGGCACCACGCAAGCTTCCAAATGAGGGAAGCAGCAAACAGTCCATCTATGATGCCTATGAGCCACACCAATGAGCAGTGTGGCACAATAACAATAATGGTGCAGAAGTGGCACTCATAACCTTGCCAGTAACCTAACTGGACTTAAGGCCCACTTACGAGGGAAATCATTCCTGGTATTGGAAACATAGCCAGCTACCCAGGGCTAGTGAAGTCAAAGATGTTGGAGGAGAAACTCCAACCACTTTACTAAAAAAAACATAATCTCTAACTACATTCTACATATTTTCCCTTATACTCATAGATAAGTGTACCCATCACCCTTCATCAAGGAAACTTCCCTTTGTGACAGACAGAGACCATAATAGAAAATCATAACCAATCAAAATGCACTCCCACAACCAAGGCTAAGGGAATATTGAGAAAGAGAGGGTGGACAGACTGTAAAGCCACAGCATCTCAGTGTTTGCTATGAAACTGCCTAAACATGAGCTGACCAAGGGTAACAATAATAGACTGCTAAAGTCTATCGAGGCAAAGACCATGAGGCCTCCAAACTACATAGAGAGCTACAGGCAATTAAGGAATACCAAGAGTGGGAGAAACAGTCTTCCCCAAGGCAGATCATAACAACTGGTTGTCCTATACCAAATTGTCAGTCCTGAAAACATAGATACAAGTAACATTATGCAAACTGCATATAACAATTAATGGAAAAAGAGGCAATGAATTTGAAAGAAATCAAGGAAGGATATGTGGGAGGGTTTGGAAGGAGGAAAGGGAAGGTAGAAATGATATAATTATATTAAAATCTCAAAAATAAAACAAATAATTTTAAAAGATGGCTTGGGGTATTTACTGTGTTTAAGTGTTTATTGTGGCTGGAACATGGAAGGGGCCGGCTGATAGAAGAAGAGAACAAAGCAGGAAGGGGTGAAATGTGAACAAAAGAAAAGGAAAAAAAAAACTGGACTAGTAAAGTCAGGTTGGTAGGGCCAGATTGAGAAGAAATTCTAATACCAGTCTTAAGAGGTGCACTTTTAGACAGGGTAGAGTGGAGATGATTGAAGGGCTGGAGAGCAGATCATGTGGGACTTTTATCAGTGACTCAGGACAACAGAACTGATAAACTAAAGGGAATTTGTCCTACATCATATTTCTTTTAAGTTTCTCCAAATGAGATTCTGTCAAATAACTAATTTTAAGGTAATGTTCTTACATGTTCTCTTTAACAATTAACACTCTTAAAATGTAGCATCCTATATTGCTATTGAGCTGGGACAACCAAAAGACTGCCAGAATCTGAGTTTAGATGTTTCAAATGTTCTCTTATATTTTTGGTTGTGAGCCTAGCCTTTAACAGCCTGTCAAATGTTCTCTTGAAAACCTTCGTCACATTAGCTTTTCTGCCCCTTAGGTAGATAATTTAATACCAACAGCAGCATCCATGTTTGTTCAGAGTTATGACTAAGTAGTACCCTGAATTGAACATGTGTGTTGTTTGGTGGCAAGATACAAACTGGAGGAAGGGAGGAAGAGAAGAGAACCCTAAACTGAACACTCTGTGCGCTATGCAAATGTTGAACAGATCTGTGATCTTGGACCTATTTGGTTCATATAAGTAAACAGGACTTGAAGTTTGAAAGTGATAGGAACTCAAGAGATAGACACTGGTAGCAGCCTCAAGAATGAAGAATAGAAATGCTGTGGTATATAACCGCAGTCACTTTTCTATAGAAATGACATTTGATTTCAATAGATCTTCAGAGGAAACTCTGGCTTCCAACTTTCGGGGACTGTTGCTATAAAACTGGAATGGTTCTCTTCCATTCTTGATAGAGAGGCACAGTCCTTCTGTCAATAAAACAGACATCCCAAGCAAACCACATCCAGCTCTCAGAAGTCCAAACTCCCAGTCACCTCTGCTCTATGCCTCTTCATGGAGTAGCTCAAGAAAGGGCCTAACACCTCTCCCTGCCCACTTTCTTTCCTCCTTAATTTCTTCTGTTCAACTCCCAATCTTCCTGTTTCCACTACAGTTCCTTAATGATTTGCCCAAAACTGTCACCTAAATCCCCCTCGAGGTGATGGTCCTGGGTCTGAATTACTACCACACCATCCCTGTCCCCTTTGAGCTTTGAATTATCATTGGTGCCATGGCTTCAAAAATGGACCACCCTGGGCATCCAAGCTTCTCCTCTGTCTCCACTTCCTTGCCTGCATTATCTACCACGGCCATTTCTTCGCACCTAGAACATAGTAGCAAACAGCAACACATGAAACCCAATTCCTACAGACAACCATGTATGGGATGCTGGAAGGAAGTCACAATCCTCAAGGATAATAGTACTATAAGCAAAAATTCTACATAGAGTTCTATTTGCCAGAACACTGAATCTTACTGAAAAGTGACTTTCACATAGCAGTATAATATACATTTTATTTTATTGTTGGTGGTGGTTGTGGTTGTTTGTGTTTGTTTTGTTTTGAAACAGGGTCTCTCTATGAAGCCCTGACCATCCTGGAACTCACTCTGTATACCAAACTGGCCTTAACTCAGAGATTCACCTGCCTTTGCCTCCCAAGTGCTTGGACTAAAAGAATGTACCACCACCCTTGGCTATGATGTACATTTTAAATTGATGTGCTAAACAGGAAATAGTAGAGCTCAGCATTGCAGGGGCTGAGCTAGCTCACCAGGGCAAAGTTGTCTATCTCCTGATCCCGCCTCTTCATCTGCTCAATGGTGCTCTCCCACTGCTGGATGAGTTCTTGTCGTTCGAGGTGAATCTTCCGGAAATCTTGTGCAGCTTTATCTAATTCTAACTGTTAGACAAATAGAAGATTACACTTCCATTAATATAATGTTTTTGCAAATATCACCTTCAAAATTAGGAAGACTTGGTAAACCAACCTGTACACTTAGTGTCTCCGTTAGTTCATTGTCTAGAAGCTTCCTTTTCTCATTACACTCCACAGTCAGTCTTTCTAACTGCAAGGTCAGTGCCTGTGGTGTGGGTACATGGAAAATATTTATAACTACCAGTTATTTCAGTCTTAAAGCTGATATATGGCATATCTAGCATTCTTTATCATTACACCTTATGTAAACACTATATTAACAATATAAAGTAATATGCATTTTCCTTATTGTGTAGCCCCAAGGGCTAATCTACTGTTTAAATATACCCTCCATGAAAATGCACTTGTTTCTGAAATGGGTCTTCTCACAAATTAGAAAAAAAATAAATGACAAATATGACCTGCAATTTGAAAATATCTAAAATAATACATTTGATATTTAATCTGCTACAGAATAATAACATGATTGTGACACTAACTTCATTATCACCAGAAGAGAGTCTAAGTAGATTTTACATAATATTGCAATAACTTATCAATTGCAATATTATCTTAAATGTATGTAATAAAGTAGGATAATCAGCAATCAACTGAATATCACATCACATAGCTTGCTATTGTATGGCTATGTGTATACTATTTGGTGTTCCGCTCTGCTTAATATCCCCATTAGTTATCTATTTGGCACTTCAACTTGAAGCACTACCTTCAAAGAATTATCCAGAGATGCCAAAAAATGAAACAGCAATAAGATTTATTCTTTAAAAAACATTCCTGGTGCTAGTAAACAAGAAGGACCCTAAGAGAGTCATACATGGTCCCCTGGAGAAGGGGAAAGAGTCAAGATCCCCTAAGCAAATTGAGAGCATGGGAAGAGGGGGGAGGGAGCTACAAGAATGAGAAGGGGAAAAGAGGAGGGATGCAGAGGTCATGAGGGAGCAGAAAGGTTGAGTCAGGGGGAGATTTGAAGAAAGGATATGTGATAGGCAGGGTGTTAGTGGGGGGGGTGGTAGGGGAGGAAGGGAGGGAGAAGGGAACTGGGATTGTCATGTAAAACAATCTTGTTTCTAATTAAAATAAAAAAATCTGAAAAGAAAAAAAAACGTTCCTGGTGTGTGTGTGTGTGTGTGTGTGTGTGTGTGTGTGTGTGTGTGTGTGTGTGTGTGAGTGTGAACTTAGTGCGGTCTACTTTTTTCCATCTTCAAGTGGTGATTAAGATGAGTACAAGCCTTGCACAGTACAGACATTTCCCACTGAGCCATCTCATTGATTGATACTCAAATAAGATTAATTGAAACATTACATCAGTAAAATATTGTTTCCTTTTCAGAATATAAACATATTTTCATTCAAATATAGAGAAAAACAGGACAATTTGAATAATAAATCCTATTTTCAAATGAAAAAATATTAATACAGTAGAACTTACTATAATATTCAAATTAAATATCAAACAAAGTATCCAAAATTAATTAATAATTCTAGTATGACTAGAATTTTCTTTGCTAAAATGTTTTATCTAGTCCTTTGAAGTCCTAACCCAGTTCCCCAGTGGGTCATGGGGCTTCAAAGGATTAAAAACTCAGAGTAGTAACATGCTGTAGGATGTGACTGCAGTCGTTTTTCTAGAGACATGACCCTTGATCTCCATAGGTTCTCAGAGGTGACTCTGATGCAAACCTTCAAGGGAAGTTGCCTTTAAAATCAGTAACCACAGATTCATGTTTTAAAAGTTGACTAAGAGAAAAATAGTTCTATAATTTCTAACATCTCACCCTGATTTTGTTATCGTCTTGCTGTGCATACTTCTGAAGGGTGAAAGTGTCGCTGTCTTTGTGAGCAGACTCCTCTAGCCAAGCCTCCAGAGCTTGCTGGTCCCAGTTCATCTGACATTTCAAGCCATCCAGCTTTTGAGTAGCTTTAAATATGGCATTCTAAGTTCCAAGGAATGGACAGAAAAGGTGGTGATAAAACATTATTTATTATGCAAACGAAAATGGACCGTAACATTATACTACCAAACAAATGATGAAACCCCATCTCTGCCTTCCATATGGCATACATAATGTGCTCAATTCTATCACTGCCATGTGTGTATTTTAATTCTCCAGTTGTAAAACAGAACGTGCATGGGTCAAGAACAAGTGGTTAAGCTAAAGTTCTTGTGAAAACGCTTGAGAGCTGTTCTCTTATAAAGAATTCATTACATTCCCCCACCAAAGTCACCCCAAATACGTGGGAATGTGTGGGTCAGTCAATAGCTTGCTTGTCCTGCTTGCTAACACCCATAATATGTGCCCTCAGTCCATTTCCAGTCATATCTGACACCCTAAAGTGGCCTCTTATATAGAAGTTTGGAAGCATTTCTAATTGAAGTAAATATAGTGTAGGGGTAAATTACTTCTGCAAATGTTGTTGCGTAAGGAATATATAATCACAAAAGAAAGCATAGACTGTATAAGTAAACTCGGTAAATGTTATTATACTGCATATACAAACATCATATTACAAAATCAAAATATGCATGTGAATGGATGTGCATGTTAATGATTAATGACCGATGTGGAAGGTCCCAGCACACTGTGGATAGTGTTCCTGGGAGGTACAAGAATGGTAGCTGAGGGGCTGGAGAGATGGCTCAGAGGATAAGAGCACTGACTGCTCTTCCAGAGGTCCTGAGCTCAGCTCTCAGCACCCACATGGTGGCTCACAACCATCCATTATGAGATCTGGAGCCCTCTTCTGGTGTGCAGATATACATGGAAGCAGAATGTTGTATACATAATAAATAAACAAAATCTTTAAAAAAGGATGGTAGCTGAATGTGAGTCTGAAAGCAAACCAGCCTGGGGTGTTGCTCTATGGCTCCTGCCACTGCTCTGACTTGAGTTCTTGCCCTGACTTCTCTAAATCACCAAAAGAGATCAGTGCATGTGAACCAAATAAGCCCTCCTCCCAAGCTGCTTGTGGTAAGGGTTTTGTCACAGTGACATAGATGCTAACCAAGTTGACAAATGAGTATGAAAGGTAAAAGTTTTAGGTGAAATTTAAAACCCAAAGTGGTATGTCTATTAATGGTGCTGCCTGCACCACCTATAAGCAGGCCCCCTGCATCCCAGGCTGCAGGACACCACCCCTGGAGAAAATCATAATAAGCAGCTAAAGAAAAATAGCCGACCTGTGGTAGTAGCACACGCCTTTAGTCCCTGCACTTGAGAGAAAGAGACAGGTGGATCTCTGTGAGTTCGAGGCCAACTCTGGTCTGCAGAGTGAGTTTCAGAACAGGCAGGGCTGTTACACAGAGAAACCTTGTCTTGAAAAAACAAAAACAAAAATAGCAGAAATGTAACATTTGATCATTCATTCAAACCATAGCTCTGTGTCTTTTCATTGTCAAAAAAAAAAAAAGTAAGTAAACCTCAGAAAATCTTAGCACTCCCTGGAGAGTGCAGGCACAAAAGCAGTACTACAGCAAGTTCCACCCACTTCTGTATCGTTCTTGCGCTCCCGGATGGCCGTCATCTCCTTCTCCAGTCGCTGGATCTCATCCTTGACCCGTCCCAGCTCTCTTTCAGCAATGGCCTTAAAATGTTCTTCACTTTCGATTTCATACTCCCTTGCTTTGTAAAGAGCCTGAAGAACAATGCACAAAATAGAAGCACTTTACATTTCTATATTATAAAATATAATAAGCCTCTACTTGATACAGCCCTAACCCAATGGACTACTCTTAACTCCACCAGGGTAGAATCTCCCCCACTTTAGCCTGTGGTTACTCAGCAGCTGTCACTCACCACCCATGAGGAGGTTAGCAAGACACTTCCTAGAGCATTATTATCAGTAGGTCAGACATTATATGGCTTAATCAAAAGAAAGAAAATCTGAAAGGTGAGATATGGAAGCTAAAACTCATCCCTTACCAAGAAGTAAGAAATACTGGTTGTGTTTACATTGAATTAACCACATGTTCTACGTCACAGAGATAATTTGAGATATTATTTACATTTGAGATAATTATGTACATACTAAGGGTGAACATCTTACACAACACTATCAACATGTGTCAATATTTCTGTACCTGTGTAAATGAAAATTCCTGATTCACATTTTTAAAGTGAGAAGTCATAGAATTAATCCGATCCTCATAGTCCCGAAGCTGATCTTGCAAGTTTGATTTTTCCTTCTGTAGTTTTGATAACTGTAAGTAACAAATTCCATGATTAAAAAGCAAACTAAATCTTCATTTACTTTGTAGCATAGTCAGCTTGAGATGCTGTAACAAAAATACCATAAAATCCATGCCTTAAACAACAGAAATGTATCTGTCACACCTGCACACTGCTCATTCGCACCCACCACCACATATTCCAAACACATGCAACATTCAGAAGTTCCCGTTCTTCTCAGTAGATCTACTCAAGGGATTTCCAGTCTCATTTTTCACCGGGCAGAAAATGTTCTCTTCTACTTTGTCCGTTTGCACACATTGTCCCCTCTTGGGCTCTCTTCCCCACACCCTAACACCAATTTGTGGGACTTTAGGCTAGCTGCTAAAAATGTGTAAACTTTGTGCTGTCGGTTGCATTTATTTTGGTCTCGTTTGTTTCTTAACACGAGGCTGAAACTGTATGTGTTCTAGTTGGTGCAAGTTTGCCCTACAGTATGAAATATTTGTCCTCCTATGATACCTAGATCCTCACTTTGAAACTCTCTACACTGCATACTTCACTGAAATGCCCCCCCCACATTGAAAACAACTCAAGCATCACAGACACACGAGTGCCAACGAGAACCTGTCTTGTGTGTGCACATGTGTAAGCAGCAGTTACTAGGCAAACACCAACAATCTGTTTGCAGTCCTTAGTTGGATGGGGGAAGCTGCTAACTGGCATCTGAAACAACTGGAGGAATGAGATTCAGGGTTTCATGGCCCTGAATAAAAATTGTTGCTCCGATAAAACTTTCAAATGTGTAACAACGGATAGGAGCAGCAAGGAAAGTGATGAGGCCAGGGTACGGGAGGCACAGATGAGTTGGACAGCATGGCGCCCAGACCTCTAGGGTCTTTCCAGGCGCCCGATCCCGATTCCCACTGGCTACCCACCTGACCCTAGTTACTGATCCTCACCTAGTCCTCCATCTTCCCACTGGTCCTCATCTGGCTGTCCTGGCGGTGTTCAACCAGACCCCACCCCCGCTCCCCCGTTGCTCAGCTGGTTCTCTCCTGTCTGTCCCCTAACTTTCACCCTGTCCTCCTCACCTGGTCCTCCAGCATCTTGTTCTCCTGGTTGGCCACGGGGATGGCGAACCCATCTTCCCAGTGAAGCTCTGACAGGAACTCGCTGCTCATGATGAATGGGCTCGAAGGGAGCGCAGACAGACTCCCTAAAAACCTTCCCTGAAGCACGTAGCCCGAGTCTGCAGAGCCTGCTTGATTGTACTCCGCGGCCCTAGCAACAGCCAGGAGCCCTTAGTTACCAAACAGGAAGCACTCAGACTGGAAGGCGGAACTTCCTTTGAGAATTTCCTCTTTCTTTCTGAAGCAACAGAAAAGTTGCTTCCCTGGGACTGCGAAGCACAGCTTTACTTGCAAGGATAGGGACACTTCCAGGACTTCCAGAACCAGTAAATCTGACACCTCGGGTGCCCCCAGAGGATCGCAAGTTCGGGGAATGGAAGACACGGGGTTCCTGGGATGCCAGGATGGTGAACTACTGGGTGCGAGGATTAAGGCCCATAAGATTGACAGAGACTATAGCACACGAAAGCACTTCGAATTTATTCTTGACCCATATGTGAGGGATCATGGTCCAGGAACACAGATCCAACCTGCCCCAAATAGCGTGTTCTAGAATGGAAACTGTTACATGACATTTTTGTAGTTGCAGAAGAAAAGGAAACTATAAAACAAGGCATTTTCCAATGCACTGATGAAAACGTCACCAGGAGTGTAAAACACAGTTGGGACGTCTGTTATAGGTTTCAGAAACTATCTGATGCCATTCTTAGCTTTGGGGTTAGTGGTAGCTAGTGGTCTGCTAAGTTAATACACTTCCCAAAGTATTAGCTGGTAAAATGGGCAATGTATTCTCATTTTGTTAAGGAAGCTAAAGATAGCTAAAGATAATTTGGCTCTGGGTCTGCAACATTCCAATGCCCGTACCATCGAAGTTCTAATCAAGTCTGTCTGTGTTAACATAGGCATGGAGCTGTATCCACACAGGATGCCTGAATAAAAGTGCACAGCGCCACAGTCCTACTGCCTACCCAAAGACAAGCTGACGAAGATAATACACTGCTTTCCAAATGCTATTTGCTGATTTGTGTGTGTTCTACACACTGCTGTAAGAGTAAGCCAAGGAGGATGTGGTATTTGAAAAGTTAATTTACTTCTTAAATTCCTTCCGGTTGTATGGTCTTCACTGGTTTCGATCCAAGCCCACCTGCAGCAGGCCATGCACCCAACCGGCCCTAGTGTACAGAGCCAGCACCTCACTCTTCCTGTTGCTTGTGGCCTCTCTAGACTCATCCCCTAAAGGGCTTCTGGTGGCAGATGCTAAAGGCAGTGACCTGTAGCATCTTAATCATCTGCAGCTAAAGTTAGGGATGGGAAGGGGGAAACATAGGACATCGATGGACAGCTCTGGGAGCCAGCTGTTAGAATGGGTACCCTGCTCCCCCAATGGAGGCATGGATGGAAAGACACAATTAGCCCTACAATCTCTAGTTCAGCAAAAGTGGGAGCTTAAGGATCAATGGTCCTACATGGGGAGAATATACACCAGAAATTCTCCCACTTCCTCCCAGATCCCCACACTCTCTCCTACCACAGATTCAGACACAATATGCAGCCTGTCTGAAGAGCTAGGGCTTCCTTTTGAGTCTATAGCTAAGACAGAGACTGTCTGCTGTTTCTCTATCAATTATCCCTAAGCGGAGCCTCATAGCGATTAGCATGCTTTACCTGGGGAGGGGGGTGCGTGTCAGGCAACAGTCCTCTGCTGAACCTCATTTTGCTGTCTCCAGGGTTGAGAGTCATTTGAAGGTGGCACCTCCTCGAGGCTCTGCAGACCCACGGAGCTGTCACTTCTGGCTCTCTGGTCATGTTAATTTTCTTTTCTCCTGTTGTGAGTGCAGAGCATTTCAGGGGTTTTCTTTTTAGACTCTTGAAGTGTCAGGCTTCACAGCATCACAGATGAAAGAGGCCTTTAAATGCAACCCAGCCTGGTACTTTGTATCTGAAACCTTGGGTGTCACTTGGTTCTTTTCTTCTTTAAAAAAAAAAACAGTTGACTTTTTTTTTTCATAGTAAACCCTACATGGGTCTGTTTGTGTAGGTGGTGTTTATGCAAATACTTACTATATTTAAAGACTAGTGACAGTTAACTGTACACACAATTCTGCCCAGCAATGTGACACCTTACTGACGGTTCGGGTCTTTCTTCTGTTGGACTACTTGGGGCCTGTCAGCATTGCTTTGAGTCTCTGATGCAATGGGAAGCCTTGTGTCAGAACTCACCACTCTAGTCTTTGCTGCACAATGTCTTGGCCATTTGCTGCCATCTAGTTGTCAGTTACTTTCTGTCAGTCTCATGTTGCAATCTGCAGACAAATTTAACAAAATATTTTGTTTGTCTTACCAGCTCTACAGGGAAAGACCAGAAAAGCAGACAACTTACCAGACATTAAACTATTTATAAGTATTCAGCATTTATACTTACCTATATCCATGTTATAAATTTGTACGTGTGTATAATTTTGTATTTACCACAGATACATGGTATAAGGAAAAGAATTCTGGCTTTTGAAAAGTTTTCAGAGCAGGGGACATATGCCAGACTTCTCATATGTTAGGGAAACCTCTACTGCCAAGCTACATCCGCACCAGAAAATCATCTTTGACCGTAGATAACACCATAGTATGTCCTAACTTACCTAAGACTATTTGCTAAATTTGGCTTTATATTTTCTTCCTTTTATTACTATTTTAGAATTTCATACAGTATATTTTGATCCTAATCACCCATAACTCCTCCATTTCGTTTTTTTTAAGATTTATTTATTTATTACATATATAGTGTTCTGCCTGCATGTATGCCTGCGGGCCAAAAGAGGGCATAGATCTCATTACAGATGGTTTTGAGCCACCATATGGTTGCTGGGAATTGAACTCAGGACCTCTGGAAGAGCAGCCAGTGCTCTTAACCTCTGAGCCATCTCTCCAGCCCCCGATTCCTCCATTTCTTATTGTTATTATTTAAGATAGGAACTCACTATGGTTGGACTCACAGTAATCTTGTCTCAACCTCCAGATGCTGGGATTACAATTGTGTACAGCCATGCCAGCCAGTGCTATAACTTTGAACCCATAATTAACTTTTTCTTTGAGACAGGGTTTCTCTGTGTAGCTTTGCAGACTATCCTGGCACTCACTCTGTAGACCAGGCTGGCCTCAAACTCACAGATCTGCCTTCTTCTGCCTCCCAAATTCTGGGATTAAAGGTGTGAGCCACCAACGCCAGGCTTGAACCTGTAATTAATTTTTTTGAACTGTACTTATTTATTCTGCATAATGTGTATGTTTTGTTGGCAAGCATCATTAAACAGGCAGCACTCTGGAAGCCTCGATCATGCAGGGACCAGCACTGAGAATCTGGTTGACCTCACAGCTAGTTGGGAGAGGTGTTTCCCAACCACTTCATTTACCTCTTTAAATCTGTACTTCTTTGAGATGTAAATCTTTGAGCTGTGGCAGCCAGGGACTTGAACCTGGCACTGTGCATGCAGGGCCTCAGCCACATACACCTTCTTTATTCTGCATCCTGGTAAGGGTGGACATGGTAACCTGGCCAGTGTGAACCCTACTTATACTTGGGGCTTCACAAAAGCACTCTGTATACATGTCTAGATTGCACACATGCAATCAGAAAAATGACCATCTCTTGGAAAGCTCTAAGATCCCTAAGGGAACTTCATGAAGCAGCAGGCTGTGTATACCAAGGATGCTGTTGTCTACAGCCACAGTGTACCAGGCTTCACAAGGCTTCACAAGTGAAGGGGCCTAGTTAATTTGCTGCAGGTTGAACGAGTTTCATTTATGACTGAGAATAATTACCTTAACAATCATAGTTTTTCATAGATCCAGGCCCATTACTAAATTTGCCAGTTTTATTGCCAAAATGCATTTACCATTTTGATCAGCCCCATTGTCTCACAGTTGTCCTAGAATCTGAAAGTGTCTTATATCACCATTAACTTATTTAAAAGTTGATCTTGGTCTCTGTTAGCCTGTTTTCCATCATGGTCTCAAAGTACCTGAGATCATCAAATTAAGAAGGAAAGTTTATTTTTGGCTCATAGTAAGACAATTCACTGCACATTTGATTAGTCCTGCTACTTTGGGGCCTGTGGAAAGTGGTGCAACATTGCTGGGATTGCCTGGTGGAAGCATCTATTCCCCTCATGGCAGTCAGGAAGTGAAAGAAAGAGGAAGTGGAGTGGCCAGGACCCAGTGAGGCAAGCAAGCATAGGGAATAGCTTAATAGCCTGACTCCACTTGGCTTGGGCCCTATGAACCCCTGTTCTAACAAGGCCCTGGGAAACCTAGGACTCTCATCTGTAAGTGCCATGTGCACACACTCTTCCCTGAACAATGGGCCTAGTCACCTGTGAGAACCCAGAATGTCCATCTGCATTGAGCCGTGTATACACTCTTCTCTGAACAATAGAATAATTCTCCTCTCCTTAATGGCCCTCAAACTAAAATGCTTTTCATTCAGACATATTCCTAGTACATGTAGGTGTGAGAGTAGAAGGGCTGGTCTGGCATATGGAGTACATGTATGCAGTAAGGTGAACTGTATCATCTAAGTGAGATTTTTGGGGAGAATCCCCTGTTTACCATCTCATGCCTATGCACAATCAGGCATGCATATGACTAAAATCATGCATCATAGGAAGGAACATGAACACTGAGCAAGGGATTACATCATCCAAACCTGCCAGTCGAAACATCCAAGCTACACCCCTAGTCAATGAATTCCTTCTCTTAACCCCATTAAGTATCATCGAAAACAATAATCAGGTCCTGAGTGTCCTCACTCAGGTGGCCTGCAGTCAGTCTCTTGTGTATCTGACCTAAACTGTCACCTTGCTTTGGATGAAGTCACCTTGCTGAAACTCTGTGCCTTCATGTCAACCCTTTGAATAAGAAGGAGGCCAAGAACCTGGACAGAGCTGACCCATGTTACCATCCTCTGGTAACGTGTTTGGCAAGACAGCCAGGAGGTGAGAAAACACATTCTTCCCTGTCTTACTGCATATCGCCTCACTGCTTTCTTCATTTTGATG